GAAACAAAAACAAGCTAATGACCTCAGTGTCAGTCCTATTTTGCATTATTCTTGTGAACTTGTTTTTACTGTTCCCACAAGAGAGACTTCCTTTGTTACTTTCTGATATAATTTTGAGTTACACTAAAGAGAGAGACTCTAGGATTGGCAAAGAAATCTCATTTCTACTAATCCCCAAAGTTCCCAATCCCTGCTCTCCAGTCTTTGGCGCTGGCAGGGAGAAGGGTATGTGTACGGATATGGAGAATGCTTTGTTGTTTTCAAAGGGTTTGGGGATGCAGGGATTTTATCTACCACTCCAGAATCCACCTGCATACAAGGTAAATAAAACAAAGTGCCTAGTTCTATGAAGTCTGTTGAGAAATGCTTATAAGTATTGTATTCCTCATGCTATGCTTTCTGTTCCACAGAAGCATTTTGCAGTTGTGTAACCTCTCTTCTAAGCCATAAATTAATCAAATCAATCCAATAACTGCTTAATGTGGTTAGGTGGGTATATAGCTTTTGTTGTGCTTAATTTCCATGGACTTCAGTGGTAGCTGTGCACGTATTCAAGGGCAGAATTTGGCCTTGATTCCATAAATAGATCTTAGTCCAGGGGTGGGCAAACTTTTTGGGCCGAGGGCCACATCTGGGTGGGGAAATTGTATGCAGGGCTGGGGCACGGGGTTGGGGTGTAGGAGGAAGTGCAGGGTGTGGAAGGGGGTGCGGTATGCAGGAAGGGGCTCAGGACAAGGGATTGGGGCAGAGGAGGGGTGCAGGGCATATGAGGGGGCTCAGGGAAGGGGGTTGGGACGCGGGAGGGATGCGGAGTGCAGGAAGGGGCTCAGAGCAGGGGTATGGACTGCGGGCTCTGCGTGCGCTGCCCTTGCCGCGCCTCCAGGTAAGCTCCCATTGGCTGCGGTTCCCCATTCCTGGCCAATGGGAGCTGTGGGGGACAGTTTCTGGAGGCAAGAGCAACGTATGTGGAGCCCTCTACCTCCCCCCACCCCCCTCCCACGCACACTCCCGGGGGCCACTTCGCCACCAGGGACAATCCCGCGGGCTGGATCCAAAGCCCTGAGGGGCCGGATCCGGCCCACGGGCCATAGTTTGCCCCCCTGTCTTAGTCCCAAGCACTCTCAAGCCATGCTATGAAGTGCAAAGTTACCCATGCACGAGTGCACAAGAGTTGAAAATGAATGCATGCCTAATTCCACATGTGCGTGCTTCACTTCAATGCAATTCCACTTGCATGCAGATCCTGTTAATTGTACATACGGCATGCACGTTTTTGAAAATATACTGCATGCTACCAGTATCATTTTAACAAAAAGCTCACATAATTGATCTGCATGGCCTAGAATCATATATGAATACTCACTCAGGCAGCTGAAAAGTCTGTCAAGTTTGTAATACACCTCTACCTCGATATAATGCTGTCCTCTGAAGCCAAAAAAATCTTACCGCATTATAGGTGAAACCGCATTAAATCGAACTTGCTTTGATCCGCCGGAGTGTGCAGCCCCGCCCCCCTGGAGCGCTGCTTTACTGCGTTATATCCAAATTCATGTTATATCGGGTTGCATTATATTGGGGTAGAGGTGTATGAAGGCAGCTGTATGTTGTTTGAAGGGAAGCTCATCTGTACTCAGTAATGTGCATCTCAGTTTCCTTTAATCCATTGCTGCCACCTGCTGGGGTTAGTGCTCTATGACACTTAAAACTCAGACACTGAAGAGTCATCCATGCGGTACAAAATGAACGCTGTGTTCTTTGTTTGCCATTTGTACCAATGATCATTTTAATTGAAGACCTAAAAAGGATAATGAAAAAGTAGCTTGTTTGTATGTGTGGTCAATTATTAATCCGGGTTTATTTATAATCATTACATAATAAAGGGGAAATTATTTTTAAATATCCTCAGAATGGATTTTAAGAACGATTTTCCTACATAAATCTAATTAGAATAACATTGTTACAGAACTGGTGATAGACTATGCTTTGCTTAGTAAAATTTTGATGTGGGAGAATACTAATGATCAGAATCTGTAAAAGATAGAGAGCACATTTTTTTAAGGTTCTTAAAGCCAAAAAATAAAATTGGCCAAATCTTTCTTGCATATGTTCATCTCAGTCTCTGCTCCAAGTAAAACATGGGATGGAGATAAAATTACTCAAGGATGAGAGGGTAGGCTGGTGTATCAACAAATGTCTGCTTTCCATGGGCTCAGCTGTAAGAGAAGGATTAGGCAGATGTTATCATTTAGTGTCACTAGAGATGTAAAAGCTGTAAAAGTTCTAACAAACACAGATCAATACATTTTGTAGAATGAGTTTGAAAGTGCTCACACTATACCTATGTCAGGATATAAATTTTATGTAGTGATTCTCAAACTGTGGTTGCTATAGTATTCCAGGATAGGCAGTACCTGAATATCTAATCCTTTATTTAAAAAAAAAAAAAAAAAAAATGAAAAAACAGCAAAACTTTCCAATATACATTATAAAGAAGCAACAGAGACCACAACCCCAATTTTTTTCTTTGTAGTTGATCTTTAGATGTAATAATTGTTAACTATTTCACAGTCAAAAAGATGATTAGCTTTAGGCAGCTTGTAAGCTCTTTGGGGCAGGGACCAATATCTACTTCTGTTTATACAGTGCCAGAATAACAGGGCCATGATCCTGACTGGGGACTCCGGGCACTGCAATAATTTAAATGGTAAATATTTTCATAAAGTCGTGGGTAGATTATTATGGACCAATAACCACAATTAAAAAAAATATATATCTGGAACAAATGAAATCCTAACAATCGTACAAGTCTGTTAGTAGGTGGGTCTGGTAAAATTGTAAGTAATGATGAAGGGAAGGCATTTTTCAATACATACATGTTCTTTATTTGGAGGAAAGCAAGATGATATACTCACATCTTAAAGGGATGACTTTTTTTTTATCACAACTATTCTGACAGTAATTAGGTAGGATGTTAAATAACTACTAAAGTTAAACATTTTAAAATCTGCCGGACCATATAATTTTCACCCAAGAGTTTTAAAACAATTGGCTAAGATGCTTTCTGAGGTATTGAATGTTGATATTTAACAAATCCTGTGGAATACTGGCACTAAGTACAAACTTGAGGTGACAAAAGTTTGGATCACTGTAGCAATCTGAAAGAAAAGGTTGCAACCTCTGGCTAAAAGCAGATGGGGAAAAAAGCACTGTTGGTCACTGGTATCATCTGCACATCCAGAAGCAGCTGAGGATCCAGTAAACGAGCAGTACTGCCAATAGGCTGAGTCATAGTCATAGGGTTTAAGGGCAGGAAGGGACCACCAGATCATCAAGTCTGATCGCCTCTATATCACAGGCCACCAACACTAAACCCAACAACTGAAATTAGACCAAAGTATAACAGCCCAAAATAGACTAGACTATTATGTGCCACAGGCAGGGAATAGGAGGGACCAAGGTGCACCTGTGCCTGAGGCCCCTGCCGTGGCAGGGAAATGAGATATACCCAGATAATCCTGGGAAGTGAGCTGCACTGACACACTGCAGAGGAAGGTGGAAAATCTCCAAGGTCACTGCCAGTCTGACCTGGGGGGAAATTCCTTCCCAATCCCACCTATGGTGATCACTTAGACCATGGCCATGTGAGCAAGAACCAGCCAGCCAAGCATCTGAGAGAGGATGTTTGAAGCCACCTTAAGGCCCTGGCCCTCCCCATCCAATGGCCCATCTCCAGCTGTAGCCATCTCTGCTGCTTCAGAGAAAGAAGATTAAGAACAAAAACATCCCAGAATACATGTGTGGCGGGGAGGAAGGAATCCCTTCCTGACCCCCACAGGTGGCTGGCTAAAACATGAGCTTTTAGGAGCATAAGATATAAACCACAAATGAGCTCCAGGGCTGCTAAGCCCGGCCCCTTGCCATCAGAAGCAACACGGTCATGCAGTTGCACGCATAAATTTGTCCTGCTCTCTCAAACTAATTAAAGTGTTTTCCACAACTTGTATTGGGAGGCTGTTCCAGAGCTTCATCTGTTTGATGGTTAGGAACCTTCTAATTTCCAGCCTAAATCTGTTCGCAGCCAGTTTTATACTCATTTGTTCTTGTGCCAACAGTGTCCTTTAGCTGAAATAGCTCTTCACCCTCTCAGGTATTTACTCCCCTAATGTATCAATAGAGGTGATTGGGACAACGTACAGTCACCTCCTGAAACTCCTACTCTCAAAAGCTCACCATCAGAACACGTGACCTCCTGCCATATTTCTGGGCCTTTGAAGTTGAAGGCACTTCGTCACTCGGACTCCTTTGTAGCGTTGTAGTATTGTCCAATAGAAAGATAAATAAAATGGTTCACACTGAATTTTGGTGTTCACCAAATTTGTAAAGCATATGGTATCTTCGGCATCTTGCAGCCTTTTGATTTTTCTAATCTCCCAACAAATCAGTATGCTGTGGGATCCTTCTTGCCTCCCGACCTCTGGGTATTAATGCTTTGCATTTACATGTGCTCTATAGATATTCTATAATCCTCCTTCCTGGGATGTTAAGAATACTGCGTCTGTGACACTCCAAGCACCTGCTGCCCCAACCTCTGACCCTGAGTTCAGCTCGCTAAAGGTGCTGCACTTCTAAACTAAACAATGAGGCCAACCGAAGAACTGTCATAGTTGTGACTCAGTTGTTCCTTCTCCAGTTCCAAGGATGCATTCTTGACTATTAAATCTACTTCTGTTTTAATATGTATTGTAGTCAAGGGATTTAAAACCTGTCAGACATTCATTCAAAATGCAATTATTGCACAACTAATCGCACAGAGTGTCAGAAGTTAGTTCCATTATACTATTAAACCTTATAAAGAAATTGTTATTGGTAATTGTCAGATTATTTCATTATCATTTTTATTAACAGTGTAAATGTGGGTTGGCAGATCATGTGCGTTGTTTTCAATTAGAACTACAGTAATTGCCTGTCTTTGTAATGTAAATGTTTTTGTTTCTTTTCAGATATACTTGAAAGAAATTTTAAGAGAAATAGGCATCTACAATGTTAAGGGGACCCACAAAAACACATGGGAGCTGAAGCCAGAATACAGACATTATCAAGGAGAAGAGAAGAGTGATTAATGCAACTGTTAATGAAGCAAACTCAGAGGCTATAGAATAATGGGACTGTGCTGAGGGAACACTGCAGTTAAACAGACTGTACTGAGCACAATTCAGTACCAAGAGATCTTAAAAAGAGTAATACTTTGTAATTTGCCTGGCTTCATTTTTAAAAACAAATTTCTTGGACGTTTCTATACATTTGTCTTGTTTTTGACAAAAAAAATTACAGAATAAACTTGTATTAGATTTATCTTTATTAGAAACCTTTTGAGTTTTGGCTTTATTTTTTAAGTAGTTTTGAGTTTTGTTAAATATTGATAACTTTAAAGTAAAACATACTTTAGAGGGACCTGTAACTTTGTGTTTTGCATCCCAGCAGTACTGAGTTTTTTTATGTCCTATTCTACTGTGTTCCTTAGGGGCCTGATCCTGAGAGTGCTGATCATCCATAGTTAATACTGATTGGGAGTTTAAGGGCACTGTGTGCTTTTCAGGATCAGTCTTCAGTCATGACACTCATGGTGATCCTAAGTCTTCCTGAGAACAAATAAAGCTCAGTTTAAAAAAAGCTGTCTGCTAAACTGGTTAATGGGGGAGAGGGGAAACCACTACAGCACATCACTGAGGAAAAACTACTCTGGCCCCATAAGTACAGTGAGGAACGAATAGATCTTTAGTATGTTTGTTTTTTTAAAATGTGATCATGTTTTGTGTGTAAGCATATCAATAAAGAGAGCATTTAATTTGTAGCAAATAAAATTATGTATATTATTGAGTGAATATTAGAGCTCGGATCAATTGAATTATATAGATATGAAAGGCCATTTTTAGACATAGTTTCTATCCCTGAGTTTGCCACTGGATCTCCCTGCAACATTGAGAAAGTCACTTAACCATTCTGTGCCTCGCTTTCCCCATTTTTAAAATGGAGCTAAATGCCCACGTTTGTAAAGCATTCAGCTGACATGTACTGTTGTAAGTGTAAAGTAGTCTCCTTTTATTTATTTTTTTTAAAGAATTGTTATATTTTGGCATCCCAAAATTTCAGGAATAATTGTGGATGCATATGAATTAACTCAGTTATAGCAGTAGTTTCAGATTGGGTGAGGGGGAGGGGGTTAAAGGCGTTTTGTTTTTAAACAGGGTCAATTTAACTTAATCTATGCCTTGGATATTTTTTCCCTCATCACATTTTCCTACATCACTAAAATCTGTGTCTCACTTGTATACAGATATCAATGAAATTGGAAAGATCTACTTTAAAAAAACATTTTTTTTAATTGTTAAGAGTAAATGCCAATGTTTTTATTAGAGAGACAAGGTGGATGAAGTAATATTTTTTATTGGAAGAACTTCTGTTGGTGAGAGAGACAAGCTTTCAAGCTTACACAGAGCTCTGTTTCAGAATGTCACAGCTAAACACAAGGTGGAACAGATGTTTTTATTGTCATTATCATGTTGATTAAGGAAGAAATGCTTTATCAGAGAGGAGAGTCTTTCAGAATTGCCTGAGGGTGATGAGATTCTGTATTGTTCTGATCCTCACTGGAATTTTGCTCCACAGCTGAGCTCCTTCAGCCAAGAATGCTTTATCTCCAGCTCTGCGGTACTTTTTTCTGGATTTTCTGCGCTGCATTAGCCACGGATGAGTGTGGATGAGCCCATGGATACAAATGATGACACTGATGTAGCAGTGTCCTAGGCCACTAAAGGCTTTGACGGTCAAGGTGAAGGCAAAGGAACTGGAGTAGGAGCCAAAGGAAGGATCGTAGCTCAGAGGCAATGTTTCACAGTGGTATATCCAGTTGAGGTAAAAAAAAATATTTATTTGGGGTGAATGGAGAGAAGAGAACTGTATACAGTTTACCCTGCTTACTTACCAGTTGCTTAAGAAAGAAAAAGCCTGATTAATTTTTCCAACTTAAGTACTTTCTATTGATTGTCTTCATGTGATTGAACTCAGTTCTCCTTACTGTTATTTTTGGAAATATCCTGATTTCTAAAGTCACATTCCTAGTTATTATTTGTTTGTTGTACTGTAGTGCCTTGGACTGTCATCAAAAGAATGCCATTTGCTAGGAGCTGTACAAACAGAACAGAAATACATGTCTCTATTGCAAAAAGCCTACAATCTTGTTCTTCTATTTGTAACTTGCCAATATTGATATAGAAATTAAGTCCAGCCATAGGCGTAAAATGCTCTTGATGGCAGTCCTGTGTGATTCGCCAAACAAGAACGTATTTTTGATTTTGATGCATGTTAATTTACTGTTTCATAAAATGTCTTCAGCTGCTCAATGGTTTTGCAAAATATTGTAGTTCTAGTGAGATGAACTGATCAGTCACAGTACTACGAAAGGTCGGTAGAATTAAAGAAATTCAGTTTTTAGTGATATGTAGAGTGCCTGTTGCTATAGGAACTAGGCACTGTTTACAGAATTTAAAAGCATATATGAGATAAATATATACTATAGAAACCTGTTCAGAATGGGTAACATGAAGATGCTAATGCTGCCAGAAATAAATTAATATCCATATCCTTGCCAGTTGATCCACCCACGAGCCGGGCCACTGTGTTGTTCACAGGCTGAAACTTGCAGGTGATCTTCAGGCATTGACCTAGAGACTGAAAAGACTTTGAACAGCTAATTCATCCCCTTCCCTCCCTCTCCCTGGTTTCAGGGTTCTTCCGTATAGTGTAACACACGGTGCTAAGGACCTCAAGTTTGTCTGAATTAGGGATGGGATGAATAATCCCTTCATGTGCCTACTATTCTGAGCAAAAATAGTGTTAGGTTTCTAGTTTTTACTAGCTTTTTCTCCAGGGAGCTCCACCAACAGAAGGGGGAGAGGAGAGCCACTTGCCCAAGCAGTCTGATGGGAATAGCCTGGCTTTAGGCAGTCTGGTCTGATGCCCTGGTCTCCCTGACTACTTATTTATTCATTTAACCGGAGAGTTTCAGCAACGTTGAATATGCTGATTGTTCCTGACTGCCTTTTCCTGCGTGATGGTGATGCCTACAATAAGACTGCATTCTTCTCTAGTGCAGAGGTTCCTGAACTGTGGTTCGCAAAACACGTGCTTGATCATCCCTGGAGAACTGGCCGGTCACATGGTGCTGGTTCTCCTTGTATCTGCCTGCTAAATTTCATTAAATAAACAGATGGATTTTTAGGTTTATCGGTTTCCCAATGTCACTTTGTGCTGGCAAGTTCTTTAGCTGCCACAGAGATATTACGTACTCCTGAATAGAGGGAATATGGTGGCCCTATTCAGTGGCCCGTGCAATTGTGAATGAGAAGGGAGATGGTCCATGAGATCATTTTTAAGATATGATTCACACACTGAAAAATTGGGAACTCACCCTGTAGTTCATGCCATGACTTATGTTTTAGGTGGTGTAATAGACTAAGGATCATGTGCACGTGAAGTAAAATAAACATCAACTGGAAAATGTCTGAAACTGCACTTTTTGCATTTAGTTGCTAAAAACAACCTCTGAATATTTCAGAAAATAAATGTTGAAATCCATAGCCCTAATTCCAATCCCAACATTATTTGTCACGTGTCAGCAGTGTGCTTGGTACTTTAAAATAAGACAACCCAGTCTCTGTCCCAAGGAGCTTACCCTAAAGATGACAGACAAATTGGACGCAAAGAGCCAGTCATCAGCGTTAGGGATGTTGCACCAATTCAGCTGCACTGGTATAAATCCTGAGGGTAAACTCAGAGCAGCAGCTTCAAGCCAGAGCAAATCACATTGGTGCAGTTCTTCAAGTGCTTGTTCACGTCCATTCCACATTAGGTGTATGCGCGCCACATGCACGCACGTCGGAAACTTTTTCCCTTAGTGGCTCCAGTCGGGACGGCGGGGGAGCCCGCCGGGACAGTGCCTCCACGCCGGTGCATATATACCCCTGCCGACCTGACCCCCCTTCAGTTCCTGCTTACCGTCCGTGGCAGCGTTGGAACAACTCTTCTCTCACTTGCGAGTGATCCCTTAGCACAGTTGTAATAGTTATCTGTAGTTAATAGTTATCTGTAGTTAGCATTTCTTAATAGTAGATAGTTAAGCTTCCTTTGTTTTAGGTGTCTGGAAGTTGTTTCCAGCACCAGCCCTGGGCTGCGGGGCATGCTGCAGGCCCAAGGGTTTAAGGTTTGTGCCACGTGCTGCAAGCCTATGCCGATCAGTGATCCCCACGACTCGTCTCCGTTGTTTGGGGTGCACCAGACTGAGCACTGCAAGATCTGTAAGGCCTTTAAGCCAAGAACTAAGAAAGAGAGAGACTTTTGCCTCAAGCAGTTGCTCATGGAGGCCACGCTACAACCTGCGGCCTCGGACCAACTGGCTTCGGGGCCGGCGTCCTCGGTGCGGAGTGCCCCGGCATCAGTCCGTGATCCGGCGCCGGTGGGGCACCGCAAGCATGCGGCACCAAAACAACAGGACAAGCCCCAGCACCGCTCGACTTCTCCAGTACGGTCAAAGGGGCAGCCGAAAGGCGATAGAGGGTGCTCCCCTATAAGAAGGCGGCGCCTCCCAAGGGACTGAACACTCAAAAGGGCAGTGTGGCCCCAGGACATACACCGGCACCAGTGGCTCCGGCGCTGCAGGGCCCGTTGAGCCCCGGGCTAAGTGGGTCGAGCACAGAAGAAGGGCTGGAGGACATCCTAGAACAGCCCTCCACGCCACACACCTTTGAGGCAGCAAAAGACCTCATTGAGCTGTTGGCGGCAAGCCCCCACCCTGGCAAGGAGCAGCTTCCGGCGCCATCACCAAGGGTGCCATCCAGAGGCAAGGCGGCAATGGTGCGCCACTCAAGGTCACCTCCCTGGCACCGCTCCCGGTCGAGCTCAGCCTCAGTGGACTCCCAGCTACCTTTGACTCAGCAGGACTCGATGGCACCGGAACCGAGCCAGCGCACGGCACCAGCACACCACTCCCTGGCGCCGGCACCAAGGGGACATAAGGCCGCACTCCCTGGCCCCGGATAGAAGGCAGCGATCCCGGTCCCGAGAGCATCGGTACTGATCCCAGTCCTGGTCGGGGAGAAGCCACTCTCCAGCCCCCCAACAGCACTGTGCCACGGCACCACCTTGGCCTTCAAGATCGGCCTCCTCGGAATCCGAGGTCGACTCAGGCTGCTCCAGTTACACCTGCAGAGCAGCGCCCCAGATCGCGTGGCATCCCTAATGGGGACCGCCGGGACAATGGCCCTTTTGGACACCCTGGGCCTATCAGCAGCAGCAGCAAGGGACCT